TGGTTCATACGCCGCAATCTATGATGGTTCATACACCTCAACAACAACAACAGTTAGTTCATACTCCACAACAACATCAGTCTTTAGCTTCTCATTTCCATCTCTATCCTGTAAGAAAACTCATCATTTTCTTCTTCTTCTTCATTCAAAATCGGAACTTTTTTGGGTTTTTATGGGTCTTTTCAGTTCTTTGTTTAATCGTAGGTTGTGGAGAAATTAGCAGATGTGGTCGAAAATGGAACAAGAGATCAGAATTCTGATGCACTGGTTTGTTTAAAAATCAAGTCTTTTTCTTTTGGGATTTTGTTTTCTAGGGTTCTTGGATGTTTGAATTTGTTCTGTGTCTGTGCAGGTTACTGAATTGAATAGTCATTTTGATAAGTGTCAACAGTTGTTGAATTCGATTTCAGGATCTTTAGGATCTAAAACTATGGTAAAGATTCAACATTTGGATTCTTGTTTGGTCTTCTGAGATTTGTACTCATCTTTGTGTGTGTTTATAGACTGTTGATGGACAAAAGAGAAATCTTGAGGAAAGTGAGCAATTGTTTCAACAAAGAAGGTAAAAAAGCAAAATTTGTCTATCTTGTTATTTGAATCAGATTGTGATCTTCTTGCTCTTTACTTACTTTGTGTTCTTTTAAATGTTTGGTTAGGGAATTGATTGTGGGATATAGGAAATCTATTGAAGAGCTTGTGAAGATAGAGCCTTAAGTTCTCCTCCAAGATGTTTTTGAATGTTTCATTTGCATAATTCAGCAATTTTAGCTAAAGTAAGGACCAAGAAATTGTAATCTGTAAACCAAATCTTTCTTTCATGAGATTACAATAGGTATCAATGTGTTTTGAAAACAAAATCTTTGTCTATAAACGTACAAGACCCGGTTCTATACTCTTGGCACTTCCGACAAAAAAACAGTGCCTCTATATGATCAAACACCAAAACGAGGTCGATGAGATTAAAGATTGGTGAATCTTTTCTCTAGTCATCTTTCGTGTTGTTGGAAATGGTTTCTGTTGAAGATAAGCTTGAAAAAGAAGATGAACCAACACTGCTGCTTACTCGGGCTTGAGGGTTACTATCTGCAGATGGAGCTTGTCCTTGTTCCGCGAGTTTTCTTAGCAGATTCATGCCGGTGGGAAGAAGCTTGGTTGATAATGAGATAAGCCCAGGTAACTGTTGAACATAGTCAGTGATTTAGATAAAGAAGAGAGGAAAAAGGAACTGAATTCCACAGTGAAGTTCGAAAGTACATGTACCGCGCCATTACGAAATTCTGCTGAGATGTCTAGTTGTACCCACATGGCTTTGGCGACGAGGTAGACAACAAAAAAGAAGCCAATATATAGAGGATTTCTGCCATGAGAGACTAAACAAATAAGTTTCATGAAGAAGCAAGCTTAAGAGTTTAAAGAGAATTTGTAAGAGTACCTTAAAAGAGTCATGAATTCATTGAATCCAAGAACGACTAAGGCAACCATTGCCCATGGAGGTGGCATCCAGTTATTATTTCTTCGGTTAGCTTCCTGAAACTCAGTTTAACTCCATTTAGATTATAAACGAGTAGATATCTCTGAAGGGAACTTGCAGGCAAGACACTCATAAACCATCAGATGGCAGAAATGAGCTATACGACTTAGATGAGTTCTAATATTCAAGGGAAAGCATACCTGTGCAGAAATGGCCTGTGTAACGGTATATTGTGTCTCATTCTTGAATTGCCTCCACAGTGATTTACATTGAACAGGTGTAATTACTGTCTTTGTTGGTGCGACCTGACAATGAGATGGAAAACAAAAGTATCTTAGATTAACTTTGAGAAATGTCTGCAAGTCTCTTTTTGTATATTGAATGGAGTATTTAGAAAATATGTTTTAGTCACCTGCTCCCAAGTGCTTGAGGCGAGGGAATCGACAGTGGTGATACTCTTGCTTGAAGCAGTGTTGTTTGTAGAATCAACCAGAGCAACTGACAATATCTTTTCAACATTGTCGAGTTCATTTTCTAAGCGGATTATAGCCATAACCGATAGCAGTTTCAAGGACTGGAAAAGCAAACAGAATAACATTAGATCCCAAGTAACATTAGATCACATCAAATAATAGGTACTTAATATTTTAGCTATCATGTACGATTCATACTGCAGAGCGAGCCATCTTTGTAATTGCTCTGATGTCTTCCTTTCCGGTCCAGACACGTGGCATTGAATCAGAATCGTGACTGAAGATTGTTGCAAACCTGGATTAATTTTTGGATTAGTAAGATGCATATATAGATGAAACTATTTAGGGAGCAACTACTAGTCACGAATTGCTACCTATCCTTCATACGCATCAATACCCGTCCAGCTTCTTCCTTTGCTTTCCCTTCAACAACACCCTGTGCGTAGATCTCGATGTCAGAGAGCATTTTGTTGCGTGTTTCTTCATCCATTTCAAAACCAGATAATGCATTGGAGAAACCAAAGACGGCCAATTCTGCTTCCCGTTTTAGTAGCTTTCTTATTGTCGGCCACGTCTCATCATTAGCTCCATCTAAGAGAGCTTCCACCGGTCCAGCTAATGCTTCGTTTAGCTTTGACTACAGCAGTAAAATTCTATTAGGCAGGTTCGAATTCGATATACCAACTATTTGCTGACATATTATCCAACCAACGAGCTTGGCTTTTGCAGGAAAAGAATGTACAATCTAGTCACCTCATAAAGCGTAGTCAGTTCAGACAACTTTGCAGCACGGACAGAATCAATATGGTCATCAATATCACGCTGAAGCTTTTCCCGAGTTTTAGATGTATCCCAGTTTGCTTGTTCAATTACAGCCTCTGCATCAGATGAATATTAAAACATATATCATAATCAACTGTTCCATGTTTTATTCTTCAAGCTCCAACATGCTCTTTTAGCTGTAACACCAACAATGAGCTATACCTTCACATCCTTTGTCAAACCGAGAAATGCAAGACTGAGCACATGAGTGTGCAGATGATGAAAACCCTTCTCCTGCATTCAGAGCCTTTTCAAAAGCCTCCTTGAAGTTTTCAAGTGTTCCAGATCTCAAATGTCCAAGCACGTCTTGGAAAGCTGGTTGAACAAGCTGGATAGATGAAAAGAAGAAATCAGTCAACGGAATGAAGTATCAACATTGAGCCTTTGTACGACAGTCACAAGATACAAGTATATGCATTACCTGCAGTAACTTTTCTTGCAGCTGTTGTCTCTTGGAAGATCTCACACCTTCGTCAAAATATGTGGCTTCAGTGTCATACCTATTACAAACGAAGTAGTGTCAGGTTTCAACAAAACCACCAGCAAATACATGGAGAGAAACTTGCAAAACTTGCAGAATTATTTACATGAGTAAACTCCTTCGTTTAGATATTGTAACGATAACTTAACCAAGTGTCTTAAGGAAGAAATATGGCACTGATAAAGTATTTTGGTAACACCAGAGATGTGACGTTATCACCCAGAAGAAATCTATACAAAGTATATAAATAGGATATTCTTACTCTGATAAGCAAGATTGGAGAATTAAACTCAGCTTCTTTCCAAATCCGGTAACGGGAGCTGACTGTGAAGCTTCTTCCAACTGACACCAGTCCTAGAGAAAAATTTAAAAGACATCTAAGAGATGGTCTATTAACATAAGAGCCAGTGTAAGAAAAAAAATCATTTATACGAGTAATCACCTCATTTTCCATGAAATGAGAAAACTTCTCATTGGCAATTTCCTCACAACGTACTGTTGCAACCATTACCTGCAAATACGCAGCATATAAATAACAAAACCACGAGGAAGTTATGAAGTATGGGTAAGAACTACAAGCAAGTAATGGTAACCTTGTGTGCTGGAAGATCCAAGTCTTTATTGTCTTTGATGACTTGCCACATTTGTCCTGCACTAAAAGCAAACGCATTTGCAGGGACTACTCCTCGCCTATCGCCAGCAAGTCCGCCAGGTGCAACAGAGTAGAAGAACCGTTGTCTCAAACTAGCAACCTTTATTTACAATAAACATTTATATGACAAGAATTCATTTCACTTCGAAACCATCTATCTTCAGCAGAAATACACAGGTCAACCCAACTAATTATGCTAGGAGATACCTGCTCTTTGAATTGCTCTTCCTTTTCTTCATAGCTGGAAAGAGCGACTACTTCGACCTGTCACAAATGAAACGAAGCTATTTCTTTATCCTAGTAAAAGAAAACAACACCAAGTTCTAAAGCAAACACCACAGCCGGCTACCATACATTGAAAAATTCACTTAGGAGAGTTTCTTTGTGTGCTTGAGGCTTAGGAACTGAATCCCATATCTGCATTTACATAGAAATGTAAGGATAGAACATTAAATCAAAACACATACAAGCGATCAATTGTTTCTTCTCTTACCTTTAGAATGTCTTCCCTCAGTAAAGGTTCTAAATTTTCCAATGGTGTCTGCAAATAATCAAGAATTAGAAAACTCCACAGCTCATAATTTAGAAAACAGAATAATGCTTTACAGAAATAACAAAATACACGCTCACACACACACATTCACAAATAGAGAACAGAAAAGAAGTCATACCCGTGTTTTATCTCGTATGACAAACATCAAAGTTGTCTTTCGCGGACTAAACAACTGCATCATAGCCTGTTCGAATGTAGAAGGGAAAGCAAACAGTGCTGAACTTTCATATCTTAGAACACTCATTCTGATAAAAAAAACAAGCACATGCATACCTGGAATACGGTTTTTAAAAGAGGCTTGTTTGCTGCTTGTTCCCGACCAATATCATGACACCACCTGCATTACGGATCCACAAAACAATAAGACAGAACGATCAGAGACCTGGCACTATGTATTCATACCAATGAGAATACAATAAGAAAAATGTGCTTACATGTTTATAAGAACTATATCTGAGACAGCAAGTGCAAAAAGAGCACTCTGCTTCTCGAACGCAGTATCATCCTAACAGCCAAACACAAGAAAAATATACGCAAGTGAGCAATCCTGCATTGATGGGTTTTTTTCAGACAACAATTTTTGTGTGTAAGCTCAATACAAGTAAACACAGCAACAAAGTTAAGGCCTTGATCATCACAAGTCAAATCAGAAAAGAGCTAAAATGGCATATGAAATGATAAGAGGACAGATACGGGAGGAAGTGACGCTACACACCTCTCCACGCTCTCTTCCATCAGTACCTTCTAAATCCATCACAATAGTGCATGGCTCAATACCAGCACATCTCGCAACCCAAATTCCCTTAGTCGTTTGAGACCTGAAAACAAGTCATCCCAAGGGTTAAAAAAACAGACTCCTAAACTAGAAGCTACACATTCTTTCAATTATGCGAAGAAACCAGAGCATTGCCTTCCTTTAAATGCATCCATTTCCCTAAATTTTGTTCCAAACAAATTATTCAACAGCGTACTCTTCCCTGCAAAATTCAAGCATAACGAGATGAAATCTCCTGATAACAAAGCATTGCCTTCTTCTCATACAGAGTTTACGTTTACGGAATCCGATACATACCACTACTTTGCGGACCCATGATCGAAACAACGGCATACGAAAGACCACATTCTTCCAATTTAACCTCTTTGATAAAGGTATAAACACCAGTAACATTAAAGACACCATCTCCATCAATAAGCTGAGTAGAACAAGAGCTATCTGTATGCATTTTTTACCACACAAGAGAAAGACAGTCATACAACTATGAATTTGACTTTACTTTCAATAAATCTCAAAATAAACCCAGAACCCACAATTCTGGGAATTCTCAACCAAAACAAAACTAAAAACTTTGAGAAATTTTTTCAAACCCATCTACGAGAAGAACCAAATCACATACAACAACTATCGAAATTACAATATAAAGACCACAAAACCTAATCAAAGGATTTATGAATCAAAACAGAAATCGTTCGGTCAAAACCGAAACTGATTAGATCAAAAGAGATCGGAAACATTTAAGGAGATTGTATAAAGTACCCATTTTTATTCCGGCCACATACAAACTGACCAATGAAGAACTCTAAAACGCGAATAAAC